CCCAGCTCCAGCCCTTCCCTGGGYCCTGTCCCTGCTCACCCAGAGCAGAGGTCGGAGCTGCCCCTCGGGAGGAGCCGCAGACCCTGCTGGGCTCTGACCTCAGTCTTGTCTCCAGCTGGACACACCCAGTGCCCTCAGCTGCTCCTTGTGTGGCCCCTCAGCCCCTTCCCCACCCCTGTGTCCCTCCTTTGGACACTCTCCAACAGCTTTAGATGTTTCCTTTATTGTGATACCCCAAACTGCCCCCAGGACTGGAGGAGAGGCCACCCCAGGGCAGAGCAGAGGGACAATCCCCTCCCTGGGCCAGTGATGCTGGGCTGGTGCCCCCAGGGCAGGACTGGCCCTCCTGGCTGCCAGGGCACTGCTGGCAGTGAGCAGAGCTGGGGCTGTCACTGCTGGAGATGTGGATGGAGATGTCGCTGGGCAGGGCCGTGTCCCTGCTCTGCAGCTGCACAGGAGCTGATCAGGCTGAAAGCTGGGCTGCCTTGGGTCTGCAGTGCAAGGCAGCAGTTGTCTCCAAAGGCCTTGCCAGATTTATTTTACATCTGGGGCTCGTGGACAGCAAGACTTTAGAGTGCTCCAGTCACAGAAGATTAAAGAAGTTCCAAGTGAAGCTGCTGGAGGAGCCCAGAGGGTGCTGACCATGGGGATGGATGGACTCGCTCAGCACTGCCCAGGGGCAGCAAAGCTGGGGCAGCTCTCAGAGTGATTACAACAACTGATCAGTGCTGAGGCCCTGGCACGGGATCCCAGAGGAGCTGTGGCTGCTCCACCCCTGGAAGTGTCCAAGGCCAGGTTGGACAGGGCTTGGAGCAACCTGGGCTAGTGGAAGGTGTCCCTGCCCAGGGCAGGATGGGCTTTAAGGTCCCTCCAAACCCAACCCAGTCTGGGATTCTGTGATCAGGGTTCTTCATTTTTAATCTACCTGAGGAATGATTTTCAGCTGACACCAACTGCTGTGGGTGCACAGAAAATGCTGGGCACTCCAAAAAAGAGTTAAATTCCTAATTTGTCCATGCCTATGACTGCTGTTGTAAGAAATGACTGGTGACATTTAAGTGGAACATTTAACCTGTTTAACCCACTATTAATTAGACAAGCAACGAGTGCACACCTACAGTCCCCCCCCTCACCTGTACTAACAGAGCCAAGTGCTGCTTTTTTCAGTTACAAATAAAAGAAAGAATGAAATATCAATTTTTATCTGTGGCAACTCTTTGTATTCCAACTTGCCAACAACATTTTTTTCAGCTAAAAATCAAAAGGAGCATATTCTGCACTCTTAAAAAACCAAAGCTGCTTCTGCATTGCTCATATTCCTTAGGAGACTTTTTGGATTTTAAGCCTTTTTCCACTGTTCATAAATTATGAACTACTTCAGGCTGGAGTATAAAAAGCATATATTGGGGGTTTTACCAACACTTCTGACACAATACATAAAAGGAACATAAAGTTATATGTATGAAGGGTAGAGTTTTCCTCCCATTTCTTTTGAATACAGAGAGAAAAGTCTTTCAGTGGATGTGAACTGCAGCCATCAGAGTTGCACTTTGTGTGTCAGAACATGTTGCAGACACCTGCAAAAGATATTTTCCCTTCCTGCACAACATTCCAAATGTCCAAACTGAACACCTGTTTGCATCAGCTAAAATCCATCATCTCAGCCTTTCTTCTCCTCCTTTTTTAAGGTTCACATCCAGTTGGATGTGGACAAACCTCCCCCAGACTCAGCTGGAGCCTTTGTGCTGTGTTCTAGGATCCTCCACATTACTGGTGTGTTTTTATTGAGGATGGAAAAACACAACATCCTGGTCCCTCCAGTCAAACCCCAGGGGCCAGACCCTCTCCTCTCTGAGATCTCTTCCCAGGGCTCACATCCATCAAACCAATAGCCAAAAGTCATCCCCCGTGGCTGCTCACCAGGGGAGCTCCCAAATCTGCTCCTTCACCTCCTGTCAAAGCTGAAGTGCCCTTGAAAACAAAAATGGATTGACCCAGTTCATCAAGACCCAACCCCAAGCTGGCCAATGTCACCATTCCAGGGAAATAAGAGGAATTTAATGAGGTTGTTTTGTTTTGTGGTTTTTTATTGTTTGCTTGTTTTTTAATTAAATGGATAAATATTTTCTGTCTCTTCACTGAGGTATTTTTCTTTCATTTTTGATAAAATCAATATGTTCTTTGTTACCAATATCTCACATTCAAAACTGGAGTTTAAAGGAGGCAGCTTTTTCTCTCATTACAGGTGTCCTGTTTTCTGTTCTGAAACGTGTCTGAAACCTCCCAAAGCTCTCAGGAATCCCAGCCTGCTTTCCAAATGGCTCCAGCATCTTGGCAGAAGGGTTGTGGTCCATGAAGCCCAGGGGACCCCAATCCCCCTGGCCCTTCCCCAGCCTGTGCTCCTGCTGTCTGTCCTGAGAGCTCCCCCTTTGCCTCCCCCCCCTCAGCAGGACACAGAGAACTGGAGCTCTCTGAGGGACCCCCGGGTTTGGCAGAGGAAGGAGCAGATCTCTGCTGTGGGAGGAAGGTTTTCCTCAAGTCTCTGGGTTTTCAGGACTATGGCAAACATCCCACTCAGGAGTTTTCTATGTGCTTTGCCTGGCTGATGTTCTGCTTACAGTGAGGGTGAGTGATTAATGCTGGGAACATTGCTTTAGTCAGTGATTAATTACTGTTAATTTATTTTTAATATTAAACATTATTCTTCATTTATTTCATTTTCTTCTGCTAATGAAGAGCTGTCTCTGGATCCCACTTGATGTCCTGCTTGAAAAGCAGGTCCTGCTTGTGAGCAACTGCCCCAAGAGCCAGGGCAGAAATGCACCAAGGACCAACTCATCTCTCTGATGGGCTCCTAAATCACTTCTTCCAGCATCAAACATCTCCCAGCAACAGTTTTGGAACAGGGTATTTCAGAGCAGAACCCAACTGAAATACAAACTTGCTGTTCCAATTTTTCATTTCAAGCTAATGTTGTGTGATCTCCTCATCCCATATCATCCTCCTCCTGCTCTCCCTGCTCAGCAGACCCTTCTTTCCAAACAAAACAAGACCTGGTGAGTTCCTCGTTGACAGCCAAGTGTCTCAGCTGGGAATACCCAAGAGCCCCAGTGCCAGAGGACAAACCAACTCTCCCTGGAGCTCCTGGAGCTGCCAGAAGCCCTGGGTTTGCTGCCCACCCACCCCACCCCTGCCAGCTCTGCTGCAGAGTCACTGCCATGGCCAAGGACCCCACAAAGCACCAAAACAGCAAATAATTATTGCTACTGTGCCACTTCAAATGGGATTGAGTTCGGCCCCATCTCCTCAGTAACTCATTAAGAAGTTAATAAAATGGAGCACCTGAACCCCCCTCACCAAGGACAGCAGCCAGAGAACTCGAGGAGAGGCAATTTCCCTGAGGGCCTGGACAATTAAATAATGCAGGAGAGCACCTATTGAGATATTAATGAGCTCCCACCAGGGCACTATTAAGTTCACAGTTTGCTGCATTTTTACTTTCC